AAATCAGTGTTTATTTCTACCTTTCCCTGGGGCCCTTCTTGTCCACTTACCAGGGTCAGGTAGCTTTCCCACTGGACCAGAGGCTATAGTGTTTGTAGTCCTCTGAGTAAAGGTTTGTTTTGTAGACAAGAGGAAGATATGGGTAGTTTTTTGCAATTCTCCCCAAACGGTTCCTGGTCCTGTGCCCAATGATGTGTGATTCAAGGGTAACTTCTCAGAATTCTCAGCCGTCTTCTGTGCAGTCTGACACATGAATGAAGAAAACCTCTGAAGAGTAAGTAAAACTCCTCAATTTTTGTAATTTTTATTCTTATGCCCCACCCAACATAAATGTCATTACCAATAGCCCAGGTTTCCCAGCTTCTTTGACTGGTTGCCTATAGGATAAAAGACACATAACTAATTCTTACCGTTTCATTATGATAAAAGGGTTAATGACAGATGTTGGCACAGGAATAGAAGGTCTAAATGTATCCTTTGTACACTATCATTCCTTATCCAGGACATACAAGAAGTCCTTGATGAAGTTTCTCAGTGTCTAACAAGAATCTAGGCCTGAGAGTAGAGAGTTGACTCAGAAGTTAATAACACTTGCTGCACCGGGTGGTGGCAGCGGCATCGGCGGTGGCGCACGCCTTTAATCCCAGCACTCTGGAGGCAGAGGCAGGTGGATCTCTGTGAGTTTGAGGTCAGCCTCCAAAGGCTACAGAGTGAGTTCCAGGACAGCCTCCAAAGTCATAGAGAAACCCTGCCTCGAAAAACAAAACAAACAAAAAAAGAGCACTTGCTGCTCTTCTAGAGAATCCAGGTTTGGTTCCTCGCTGGGAACCAGCTTTGGCAGGGGGTGAGGGTGGGGGTTCAGGTCCTTTGCCAGTTCCTAGCACCCACAGTTGCCTGTAACTCTAATTCCAAGAGTTCTAGGGGATCCAACACATTCTTCTGACCTCTGTAGGCACCGAACACTCATGTGGTACATATACATACATGTAGGCAAACCACTCATACATATAAAATAAATACTGAAAAAGAAAAAAAGAGCCTAGTATCAGGTAGGAGTTCATTCCTTGGCAGGGGTCACTCCCCATAATAGAAGAGGCCTAAATCAGTTGGCAGTAGAGAAGGGGACTTTAACTTTTGGCAGAAAGTAGTGGTGCTTTTGTATAAGTCATTCTGGCTGGGTTAGGTTGCAGTAACAGAACTGACTATTTCAAAACTGGAAGTGGTTATTAGAATTCGGGGACAAATGGTTTCCCAATTCATCCTGAGTGACTGTGTCATGCCAGCTGTCACCACTTTAATAACCATTTTTGATTTTTACATCCATAGGTCCTTCTCTAGTCCATCTGCTATCCAGATTTATCCAAACCACCATGCAACACATGAGCACTGTCCCCCTGACGTGTGAATTCAAATTCCAGCCTTTGATTCAATGACTACCACCTGATAATGATGTCTCAGTTCAGCAGGAAATGGCTAGAATGATCTCAGTGCCACCTAGCCTCTGCCACCACCCTCTTTTCTATAAAATTGTCCTTCTGTTCCTTTTACATAGACAAAAGGCTGAAAATATTATGCCATGTAAGTGAGGAGTGTGTCCATCTCAGAAACAGGCCTTCCAGGTGGCAAAGCCCTAAACAGAGAGTGCTGCGGGCAAGGGCATACTCAGTTCGTTGGCGCCCAGGGCCTAGAGGCCAGTGGGCACTGGCACACTGCATAAGGTAATTATCATCGTCACAGCTTTTATGTGAGCAGACACGGCCTCGGAAAGTCAGGTTTGGATGGCAGGCACCTTTACCCACTGAACCATCTCACTGGTTCCTGTAGAGACCTTTCAGCTTTATCCTTCTGAACTCCTTTGATTTTATGACTGGTCTTCATGATAATATGAAGTAAACTTAAAGAATAATTAAGGATCAAATGATTAACAATTTTATTCAGACTCTACAATGAGAAATAAGAGTTGCAGTAATTTTGTTTGTTTTAAGAGACAAGCTTTCAGCCAGGCACTGGTGGCACACGCCTTTAATCCCAGCACTCAGGAGGCAGAGGCAGGCAGATCTCTGTGAGTTTGAGGCCAGCCTGGTCTACAAGAGCTAGTTCCAGGACAGCCTCCAAAGACACAGAGAAACCCTGTTTCGAAAAACCAAAAAAAAAAAAAAAAGAAGAGACAAGCTTTCTTGGTTTAATCTTGACTGTCCTGGAACTCTTTGCTGGGATTAAAGGCTTACACGACCATGCCTGGCTGCAGTCATTTTTTAATGCTAAAGTCCTGAGGCAGAGGCAGGCGGATCTCTGTGAGTTCGAGGCCAGCCTGGTCTACAAGAGCTAGTTCCAGGACAGCCTCCAAAGCCACAGAGAAACCCTGTCTCAAAAAAACCAAATAAATAAATAAATAAAGTCCTTAAAGATACATTGAAATATATGAGTTTAAAATAAAAATCTTTTATGATAAAATATGCCACAAACAATTCAGAAGAAACTTACCTTGCTTTGCATATAAACAACAAAGCCTTACGAATTATGGTCTTAAAGAGTTAATAGGAAAAGGTAGTTTGGCAAAAGATATGACTAGGTGAAAATTAGTGAAGAAAAAGGATACTAAGGGAAGGCAAGATCCAGTAGTAGTAGAGCGTTTTTCTCATCTGGTCTGGGATAAAATTCAGCACACAAGGGTTGTTGCCACGTCCGCTGCGCAGCCTGTGTCCGAGAATGTGCGGAGGGTGTCGGGGATTGACAACACAGAGACTCGTTCAACGGTGTAAAGAAACTTTAAGCAGGCCATAGGAAAGGCACTTTATGTTGTGCTAGTGGGGCAGCGAATCATCCCTTTCTTTTTAGATAGGTGTCTTGGCTTCCTGCAAGCAGCCCTTACCCCCAACTCCCCTTTATGCTTGTTTGGCCACATTTCTTGCCCGGGGTTCCCTGCAGTAGCTTTGATTTCTTTGTTGTTGGTGCTTGAGAATTAAAGACCTTTTGATGCTTCTTACATTTTATTAACGTGTTCTTGTTTGTACAGTATTTCTACTTTGAGTTGGTTTGCTTATGTTCACCATGACTAATACTATCTAGTCTATTATTGTTTTATAATATACAACTTGTTTTCAAGTATTAAGGAAATAAAGTTTATCACATGTTAAAATAAAATCATTCATAAAATTAGCATCCATTGGCTCTTTTAGTCGTTGTCCTGGTTGTTGTTGTTGCTATTGCTGCTACTGGTTTTTGAAACAAGGTCTTGTGTATCCCAGGCTGCCTTCAAATTTGCATTCCCAGTATAGATGAAGATGTCCTGGAACTGTAGATTTCCCTGACTTCCAAGTGCCAAGGTGACAGGCATAAACCAACACAGCCACCGGGCGTTGGTGGCGCACGCCTTTAATCCCAGCACTCAGGAGGCAGAGGCAGTTGGATCTCTGTGAGTTTGAGGCCAGCCTGGTCTACAGAGCTAGTTCCAGGATAGCCTCCAAAACAATACAGAGAAACCCTGTCTCGAAAAAGACCAAAACAAAACAAAAAACAAAAAACACCACAGCCTTGCATGCTGTGATTTAGTTATAACCAGGTATAATGATATTCGATGCTATATATGGAAAACAATATATTTATTTACCAGGGAGAGAGAGAGAGTCGCACAAACAGGAGTTAGAAGCTTGGCTGGCTTCCGGGAGAAAAGGGAGGTTCCTTTTTCTTTCACTTCCTTTTATATCTACCTGTGTCAGTTTACATGTCTCCACCCTCATGGGCGGATAGCTTTGTGGGGTTCACTCCTACATTTAGTATTGCAAGCAGAACATCAACATTGTTACGTATATAATAATAACATAATAAATATATTATTCTACCTCCCTGTTTATGAAATCTTTTTGAAATTAATATTTTTAGTTATCAAACAAAGCATTGGATTTCATTACATCATTTGCATCCATATATGACATTATGTTTGATTATTCTTCTTTTGGGGAGAGGGGGTTTGAGACAGGGTCTCTCTACGTAACCTTGGGTGTCCTGGATCTTACTTTGTAGACCAGACTGGCCTCAAAATCACAAAAATCCTGGATGGTTTGCCTCCTGAGTGGTGGGATTAAATGCAAATCGTATGCCCGGTTTAGTAGTTCTACTTTGAATCTTTTCAGGACTGTCTGCACTGACTTCCATAGTGGCTGTACCAGTCAATACTCAGCACCAATAGTGAATAAAGGGTTCCCTTTCTCCACATCCTTGCTGGTTTCTTCTTCTCCTTTTCTCTTTCTTTCCTCTTTCCTTCCTTTTTTTTTCTTTCTTTTTTTTTATGATAATAGCCACACTCACTGGGGGGACATGGAATCAATCTCAAAATAGTTCTAATTTGCATTTCCCAAATGGTTTAGGATGGACATTTTCAAATATTGGCCATTAGCATTCGCATTTTTTTTGTGTGTCCAATTCATTTAATAGCCGCATAATTTGTGGGATTTTGAGGGGTTAGTTATTGGAGTTCTTTATAAGAACTTGCTAATTCTCAGCCGGGTGGTGGTGGCGCACGCCTTTACTCCCAGCACTCGGGAGGCAGAGGCAAGCGGATCTCTGTGAGTTCGAGGCCAGCCTGGACCGACAGCCTCCAAAACAATACAGAGAAACCCTATCTCGTAAAAACCAAAAAAAAAAAAAAAAAAAAAAGAACTTGCTAATTCTCAGTTGACGTGAATTCTTTGTCTAATGTACAGTTGGCAAAGTCTTTTTTTTAAACCCATTTTGTGGACTCTTTTTTTTTTTTTTTTTTTTTTTTGGTTTTTCAAGACAGGGTTTCTCTGTATTGTTTTGGACCCTGTCCTGGAACTTGCTTGGTAGACCAGGCTGGTCTTGAACTCACAGAGATCCGCCTGCCTCTGCCTCCCGAGTGCTGGGATTAAAGGCGTGTGCCACCAAAGCCCGGGTCATTTTGTGGACTCTTCCATCATTCTCATGACAATATTTTTTACATGTTTTAGATGTTATTTTTTGTTATTTTTAATGTGTGTGTGTGTGTGTGTGCGCGCGCGCGCTGTGGCATGTGTATAGAGTCAGAGAACAACTTTGTGGAGTCAGTTTTCTCCTCCCAGCTTTGTATGAGTTCAAGGGTGGCATACACGTTATCTGCAGAGCCATCTCTCCAGTGCCCCACCCCCATGATGTTCTTACCATAACATCATAGGCCTTAGAAAACACTGTTTTCTTTCTTTCTTTTTTTTTTAATTTTTTAAAGTTAAGTTAGAAATAAGCTTGCTTCAGCCGGGTGGTGGTGGTGCACGCCTTTAATCCCAGCACTCGGGAGGCAGAGGCAGGCAGATCTCTGTGAGTTCGAGGCCAGCCTGGTCTACAGAGCGAGTTCCAGGAGAGCCTCCAAAACAATACAGAGAAACCCTGTCTCGTAAAAAAAGAAAGAAAGAAAGAAAGAAGCTTGCTTCACATGTCAATCCAAGCTCCCTCACCCTCCTCTCCTCCCCAGTCCCCACTCCGCCCCAAGGTGGGTGAGGTCCTCCACGGGGGTGTCCATAGTCTGTCATATCATCCGGGGCAGGGCCTGGGCCCTCCCCCATGTGTCCAGGCTGAAAGAGCATCCCTCCATGTGGAATGGGCTCCCCAAGTCCATTTGTAAGCCAGGAATAAATACAGATCTACTACTCTGGGCCCCATAGACTGCCAAGGCCTCCTCACTAACACCCAGATTTGGGGGTCTGGATCAGTCATCAGATTTGGGGGTCTGGACCTTAGCCATCAGTTTGGGGTCCATGAGCTCCCCCTTGTTCAGGTCAGCTGTTTCTGTGGGTTACACCAGCCTGGTCTTGACCCCTTTGCTCATCACTCCTCCCTCTCTGCAGCCGGGTTCCAGGAGTTCAGTTCAGTGTTTAGCTGTGGGTGTCTGCCTCTGCTTTCATCAGCCACTGGATGAGGGCTCATGTTTGTCTTTTTGTGAGTGGGTTACCTCACTCAGGATGGTTTCTTCCAGTGTCATCCATTTGCCTAGGCCTCCTCACTGACACCCACATCCAGGATGTCTAGGTCAGTCCCATGCTTTCCACACAGCCATCAATCTGGAGTCTAAGAGCTCCCCCTTGTTCAGGTCAACTGTTTCTGTGGGTAAAACCAGCCCACTCTTTTTTGTTTTTTTTGTTTTGTTTTGTTTTTTCGAGACCGGGTTTCTCTGTATTGTTTTGGAGGCTCTCCTGGAACTCGCTCTGTAGACCAGGCTGGCCTCGAACTCACAGACATCTGCCTGCCTCTGCCTCCCGAGTGCTGGGATTAAAGGCGTGCGCCACCAATGCCCGGCCAAACCAATCCACTCTTAACTCCTTTGCCCATAAGTTCTCTCTTTCTGACACTGGATTCCAGGACTTCAGTTCAGTGTTTAGCTGTGGGAGTCTGCCTCTGCTTCCATCAGTCGCTGGATGAAGGTTCTGTTTCCCAGACACTCTGGCCGTGGGATTGTATGCTAGCACTCCCCTCATTCATGTCTAAAATCCATAAATGAGTGAGTACATACCATGTTTCTCTTTTTGTGACCGGGTTACCTCACTCAGGATGGTTTCTTCTCGTGCCATCCATTTGCAAATTTCAGCATTCCATTTTTTCCCCGGTGAGTAATACTCCATTGTGTAAATGTACCACATTTTCTCTATCCACTCTGCAGTTGAGGGGCATCTAGGTTGCTTCCAGGTTCCGGCTGTTACAAATAATGCTGCTATGAACATAGTGGAACAGACATCCTAGTATGGATACGCATCTTTTGGATATATGCCTAAGAGTGGAGTTGCTGGGTCAGAGAAAGGCATGTATAAAGAAATAGCAGAAAGAATGTCACTGGAATGATGGAAGGCTGTCCACGACTGTGCTCATTACACAAGTCTGTGCATGTGATAACATGCACTGTTAATGTGCTTGGTGTTGCTCTTCATTTACGGGAAATATAGTTCCCTGAGGCAGTCTGGGCTTTGTGTGCAAGCTGCCTATATTGTCTTCGTCTCATACTAATAATTTCTAGCAAACCATTTAAAAGTGGAAATCATCAGGATAAAAGAAAAAGTCTGAATATAGGAGAGTAACAATTTGCA